TTGCTAGACTCACCTGAGGACCTTTAATGAATCCTAAATCTAGGCCACACCTCAGACCAATTAAATTGGGATTTCTAGAGCGAGGGCCAGGCATCGGTGTTTCTGAAAGATCCCTGAGTAATTCCACTATGCAGCCAAGGTGCAGAGCTCCTGCCTCCCTTGGCAGTAGGTGCACTCACTCATCTTTTTACATCCATCCTGGGACCAACCTATCATTGGGCATGATTCGTCAGTTAACTGCACAGCAACTACAATGAGCTTTTAAAAATATAAATCATAATGCATTGCTCATCTGAATAAAACCCTCCAATAGCTTTAAATTGTACTTAAGAGTAAACTCAAGGCCCTCGTCTTGGCTTGAGAGACCCCAGCAATCTGACCCTACATACCTGAGGTAGGAGAGCCAGGAGTAGGGACATGAGCTCTGTAAGCAGACACCCCAGGGCCAAGTGCTGGCTCTGCCTTAATGGGCTCCACGACTTCTGAGAAGGTACGAGACCTCCATTGCCTCATCTTTAAAGGTAGATTTGTTGTAAGAATTAAATTAGTCGACACATGTCCAGCTTTAACACAGCACTCAGATCCTCCCCTCACCGCATTCCTGTCTCACATAGTTCCCAGAACAGGCTCCCTCTGTTCTCTCCTCTGAACCTGCTCTACAGGAAAACTCTTCCCTGACACCTGCCACAACTGCTCCTTGTCGTCACTCAGGAGCCAATGCCATGACCACAGAGACCCTCTCACCCCTTCATCACTCGATTTGATTTTCTTTATAGCCTGTATTCATTTGCTGGGGCCACAATAACGAAGGGCTTTGAACTGGGTGACTTAAATAACAGAATTTTATTTTCCCACAGTTCTGGAGGCTGGAAATCTGAGATCAAGGTGTCATCAAGGTTGGTTCCTTCAGAGGGCCATGAGGAAGGATCTGGTCCATGGCTCTCCCCTAGCTTCTGGTGGTTTGCCAGCAATCCCTGGTGTTCCTTGGCTTGTAGATGCATCACACTGGCCTTTGCCTTCATTTTCACATCTTGTTCTTTGTGTGTATGTGGCTCTGTGTCTAAATTTCTTTTTTTTAATAATTTTTTTATTTTTCAATTACAGTTGCTATACAATATTATATTATTTTCAGGTGTACAACATAGTGATTAGACATTTATATAACTTATAAAGTGATCACCCTGATAATTCTAGTACTATCTGACAC